TAGGACTTAATTAATAGCAATAAACTTTGGTTTGATATATTTTATCAAATTGTAGATATAAATGTATATGAAAAAGCCCTTCACAAACCTAAGATTATTAGCAAAAATGTGGCTCTTATTTATTTTGGCTAAACATTTTTAAAGTGTATTATGTTCCGTTACGACTCCCCTGAACCAGTCTTATATTTTAAGGCCCAGATCCTGCATGTTTTTAACTTTAAGTACTGTGAGTAGCACTGCTGAAGTCAGTGACAGAGTGAGGGTCTAATTCCTTGTTGAGGTTGCTGCTTTAATTCTTGTAGAATGTTATTATGTCCTCTTATTTAATCACTGTCATTCAGCCAAGCTATACATATTTAGGTCGTGTGCAGAATGTCCATGCTGAGAACATAGGAAACATGTTTAGACTTTACAAATTTTCCCTTTCTATTGCTCTGTTTTCTTGTTAATCCAAGGAGCAATGCTGGACTATCTTCTTTTTCTCTTTTTATATAGCGTCAGTGATTACTGATATGGCAATGATTTTTATTCTGTAGATTCTGAAGCATTGCCTTCTGCAAGAAGTAATGCACATTATTACATTTTTTCTTAGATTCCAAGCGTAACTTCACAAGTCTCTTCCTATAGGGAATTTCATTTTTCTATAGACTCCATCATAGTTCTTTGTCTCAGGTATGTAAATCAGAGTTCCATAGGAGATTTATCTAATTATTTCTGAAAATAGGGATGGAGTTTTCTTTCAGGAATGTTTGTGGTGGCAACTCTTTCCATAGCATTGCATAAACCTGGAACCAAAGATGTTTGCTAAGCACTTGCCTAAAATCTGTTGTACTAGGTAAGAGATTGAGGTGACTTGAAGAAAACTTGCATATTTTTCTAAGGGCTCGTGTACACTTACAGCACTATAGCATTGCAGCTGTGCTACTGTAGCACTTAGTGAAGACACTACCTATGCCAATGGGAGAGCTTCTTCTGTCAGTGTAGGTTGTCCATCTCCCTGAGAGGCAGCAGCTATGTCGACAGGAGAAGCACTCCCATTGACATAGCACTATCAACACTTGAGGTTAGGTCAGTATATGACTGCACCCCATATTCGTCATAGTAATATTATTATGATATGATTATGGTATAATTATGCATTTTGTACAAGATGGGTCATGTAAGGTGTCATTGGAAAGTTATGATTTGCTGAATATGATTATTCTATGTGAATGCATGTATCATTTTTGTATCTGAAGTTATAAATATTGACTATGTACCTGTTATATCTGTATTTCAAATGTGACACCCACTGGCAAAATGCTTCCAGCCTAGATGGCTGGTTATGAAGGACTATTCAGGGTAATGGGTCATTAGAAAAAAACAATAGGCCTTAGAAGAAGCTTATCCCCACCTGGTGAGCCTTCCTGAGAATGCTCCAGACAGCCTATAAGTAAAGGCTAAATTTTCCATACCCCTGAGCAATATAGTTATTCTGATATTTTTTAGTGTAGACTAGGCCTAAGAGTGGTAAGAAATTTACCGTGAGCCCCTGCTACTGACATGGAATAGTAGAAATTGTATAGTAGCATGGAATAGTAGCATTGGAAGGGATCTTGATAAGTCATCTACTCTAGTCCGGTTTTGTCTAACCTGTTCTTAAAAATCTCCAATGATGGAGATTCTACAACCTCCCTAGATAATTTGTTACAGTGCTTACCTACCCTGTCAGTTAGGAATTTTTTTCCTAGTATCTAACCAAATTTTTTCTTGCTGAAATTTAAGCCCATTACTTCTATCCTGTCCTCAGTGGATAAAGAGAACAATTTATCACTCTAATCTTTATAACAACATTTTACATACTTGAAGACTATTATCATGTCCGTCCTCAGTCTTCTCTTCTCCAGACTAAACAAACATTGTTTTTTTCAATCTCATGTTTTCTAGACCTTCAGTCATTTTTGTTGCTCTCCTCTGGACTTCCTTTTATTTGTCCACATCTTTCCCAAAGTGTGGTTTCCAGAACTGGACACCAGGGCCGGCTCCAGCATTTCTGCCGCCCCAAGCGGGAAAAAAAAAAAAAGCCGTGATCAGCAGCAGCAGTTCAGCGGCAGGTCCTTCGCTCCTAGAGGGAGTGAGGGGCCTGCCGCCCCCGAATTGCCACAGGTGCTGCCCCTTTCCCTTGACCGCCCCAAGCACCTGCTTGTTAAGCTGGTGCCTGGAGACGGCCCTGCTGGACACAATACTCTACTTGAGGCCTTGTCAGTGCTGAGTAGAGTGGAAGAATTACTTCTTGTGTCTTGTTCCTGCTCCTACACCTGAGAATGATGTTCACTTTTTTTCAGCAGTATTATATTATATTTAGTTTATGATCCACAGTAACTCCCAGATTCTTTTCTGCAGTACTCCCTCCTAGGTTTTTATTTCTCATTTTGCTATTTGTGTGATTGATTATTCCTCCTAAGTAGAGTACTTTGCATTTGTCCTTATCAAATTTCATCCTATTTATTTCAGACCATTTCTCCAGTTTTTCAAGATCATTTTGAAGTCTAATCCTGTCCTCCAAAGTGCTTGCAACCCCTTCCAGCTTGGTATTGTACACAAACTTTATAAGTGTACTCTCTGTGCTATTATGCAAATCATTTATGAAGAATTGAATAGAACCAGAGCCAGGACAGATCCCTGTGGGACTCCACTCAATATGCCGCTTCAGGTTGACTGTGAACTATTCTCAGAGTGTGGTTTTCAAACCAATTGTGCACTCACTTTATAGTAGGTTTGTCTAGGCTATATTTCCGTAGTTTGTGTATGAGACGGTCACGTGCAACAGTATCAAAGGCCTTACTAAAGTCAAGATATAACACATGTATTGCTTCCCCCCCACCTACAAAGCTTGCTAGGTGTCAAAGAAGGATATTAGGTTGGTTTGACAAAATTTGTTCTTGACAAATCCATGTTGACTATTACTTATCCCCTTATTATCTTCTAGGTGATTACGAATTGATTGTTTGAGTAGTTGCTCCATTATCTTTCCAGGTACACCTCTACCCCGATATAACGCTGTCCTCAGAATCGAAAAAATCTTACTGCGTTATAGGAGAAACCGTGTTATATAGAACTTGCTTTGATCCGCCGGAGTGCGCAGCTCCACCCCTCCCCCGCCCCACCAGAGCGCTGCTTTACCGCGTTATATCTGAATTCATGTTATATCGGGTCATGTTATATCAGGGTAGAGGTGTACCAAAGTTAATTTGACTTGTCTGTATTTCCCTGGGTTATCCTTTCCCCCCTCTTATAGCTAGATACTATATTTGTCCTTTTCAGTAGGGCCTGCTGACTTTAAGACATTCAGCTTGTCTAAGTAATTTTTAACTTGTTCTTTCCCTATTTTAGCCTCAGCTCCCACCCCATTTGCACTGATGTTCACTATGTTAGTAGTCAGATCACTGCTAAGCTTTTTGGTGAAAAGCTGACACAAAAGGGGCATTTAACACTTGGCCATTGCTGCATTTTCTGTTATTGTCTTTACCTCCTCACTGAGTAATGGGCCTCCTCTGTCTTCCTTTTGCTTCCAATGTATTTGTAAAATGTTTTCTTGTTATACTTTATGCCTCTAGCTAGTTTAATCTTGTTTTGTGCCTTGGCCTTTCTAAATTTGTCCCTACATGCATGTGTTTTTTTTAATACCGAACCTTCATAATTTGACCTAGTTTCCACTTTTTGTATGACTCTCTTTTGAGTCTCAGGTCATTGAAGATCTCCTGGTTAAGCCAGGGTCATCTCCCTATTTGTCAAATCTAGGACAGGCTCTGACCTAGTTACTTCCTCCGCTTTCTGTAATGACAAGTTGTCTGGAATACATTCCAAGAACTTGTTGGAAAATCTGTGGTCTGATGTGTTATTTTCCCAACACATGTCTGGATAGTTGAATTGCCCCATCACCACCAAGTCCTCTGCTTTGGATGATTTTCTAAGTTGTTTAAAAAAAAGTCTCATCCACCTCTTCGTCCTGGTTAGGTGGTCTGTAGTAGATCCCTATGATGACATCACTCTTGTTTTTTACCCTTTTATCCTTACCCAGAGACTTTCAACAGGTCTGCCTCCCACTTCTATCTTGATCTCAGTGCAGGTGTATACATTCTTGATATACAAGGCAACACCTCCACTGTTTATTCTCTGCCTGTCCTTCCTGAACAAGTTATACCCTTCTATACCAATATTTTACCCTTGTGAATTATCCCACCAAGTCTCTATGATGCCAATTATGTTGTAATTCTGATTATTTGCTAGTATTTATAGTTCTTCCTGTTTATTCCCCATACTCCTTGCATTATTAAACAACATCAAAGATGTTCATTAGATTTTTCCCACAATATTCCCCTCCATATTGTCTTTCCTTTTCCCCTACTATAATTTGCCCATTTTCCTTCCCCAGACTCTGACCCTTCATCCAGATCTCCATGTTCTGGAATTTCCTGGGTGCTTTTGTCTCCTGCTCCCATCAAACTTACCTTAAAGCCTCCCTCGCTGGGTTAGCCAGTCTGTATCAGAGCTATTCTTCCCATTCCTGGCTAGGTGGCCCCCATCTCTGTTCAGCAGTCCTTCTTCTTGAAACAGCATCTCATGGTCAAAGAACCTGATGCTTTCCTAGTGACATGCACATTCTTTGTGTACAACCATATATATGTGGGAAAATAAGACTATTAGATGTACAATTTTGTACATCTTTTTTTGTAGGGATGTGCTAAAGCTCTGTTTTGGTCTGAATTTGATCCCATTGAAGTCAATGGGAGTTTCTACCATTGACTTCGCTGTAAGCAGAATTATGCCATCATTGAATACTTCTGAAAATCCTATCCTAAGCTTCTAATAGCTGCAACTGTTTTGTTTGGGCATGCCCAGTGAAACAAACCTATTCAGTTTCTGTGCCCAAAACAAAATTAGGCCCAGTGAATTTAATATAGAATGATCTGGCTTTACACCTTTGTCTTCTAAGTTTCATATTTTCTCCTGTTTTTCAGTGCGTTGTGTTTGCTATGACTTCTGGTCAAATGTGGAATCATATCCGGGGACCTCCATATGCTCATAAGAATCCTCAGAATGGACAAGTGGTGAGTGAATTTTTTGCATTAGTATCTAAATTGACTTGATTGCCACAGAGTTCTGCAAATCTAAAGTACAGTGGGAAAATGGATCAGGATCACAATTCAGGAAACGTGAATATTGCCTATTGTGGAGTTTAACAGTTAGATTTTCAAAAGCACGCTGCACCCAACAGCTCCCATTTGGACACCTAACTAAGTAGCCGTGTCTTCAAAACATCTTAGCTTCTATTTGTGCACCTAAGCACAATGTTGGATTTTCAAAGGCACTCAACACCAAGCAGCTCCTGCTGATCACAGATAAATAAATGATATGCTTTTTTTGTAGGGATGTGCTAAGTAATAAGATTAAAATGTAAACTAGTCTGAACTTTCACTTATTCTTCAAGCTCAGCTCAGAAAACTGTCAACTTCCTATGAGCTGAGATCTGCCATCATTGCTGCTATGTATCCCTGCTACTGTGGTCAGAAATAAAATGCTCATAGGAGAGGGAAAACACATTTCCAAACTACTCACCAACATGCACAGTGATTTGCTGAGAAGGGGGAGCAAAGCTCCCTGACTTCACCTTTGAGAAGGTGCCAACAGGTGATGAAAAGGTGGCCTAGGTTATTATCCATCATTTTGAGTATTTGCCACTGCCAAAAAGTCATTGGAGTGGAAGCTTACAAGGCTTGCAAAAACTCTGGCAAATGTCCACCTTTTTTCCTACTTAATGGAACTTCTAACCATTTTCAAGTTTTCCCATTGCTAGTTCACCTTGCCTGTTGTTTAGGCCTAAAAGAATAAATCCTCTCTATTTCTTTTGATGCTTCATATCCCAATTGGAGTAGCAGAAAGTGATGGCTTGAATTTGATTACTGACCCACAGTGTATCAGGATTATAGCAGGAGATTGATGACATAAAATGACGTGATTCAGTCTGGTGCTTTGTTATGCAGAAGTAGATCCAATAAAGTGATAAATAATGTCAGTAAAACATTGTGATTAGAAGGGTTTAGAATTTTTCATTAGTGCCTTGGAGTATTTAATGTATAATGTCTTCCTACAGAGTGACAGAAAGGTGAAAGATGTCAGAGAAAAGCACTGTCCTAAACAATTTCTTCATATCTAGTTTCATACATATCATCCTTCTTAAAGACTAATTTCTGCTGTGCTGCCTACACTAAAGCTAGTTGAGTTATATAAAAAAATGCCGACGTTATTCCACTTTCCATAAATTTTGTCATCTCAACTGTCTTCAGATTGTGAGCTCCTCAGACTAGGGGCTGTCCCTTCTTGAGTATCTGGGAAGCTGGAATGTGAGTCAAGAGACCTAGATTCTATTCCCAACTCCGTCGTTGATCTGTTGTGTTACTTTCAGCAAGTCACTTCCTCTCTCAGTGCCTCTCTCCCACCTCTCACCCTTTGTCCATATTTTTTAGTTAGACTATAGGCTCTTTGAGGCCATGACTGTCTCATTATGATTTTATAAAATGCTTAACACAAATAATACGTTTTAGTTTCTGAGATGTCAAGAAGGATTTGGACACAGGCTACTAGTGGTCTAGTTTGTGAACTATTGACCAATGTAATTAGGGGTCAAAGCAAATTTCAGTTCATAACTGGTAGATAGATCATCATTTTCAGAAGTCTGATATAGGACTTATCAAATATTAAACTAGAAGTTTAGTGATATTTGATATACCTGGGCATATTTTACTGGGTGTTTTTTTCAGATAATAGTATTGTACATTTTTAAAGTCACACCCTCAAGGCTTTAGTTACATATATTTTAAGTTGGAGTCATAACAAATATATACAGCTTTTCTGTGATATTTATGTGGCCTCTTTGTTAATTCATAATAGCACTACTTGGTACTTTATCACAATTGTTAATCTGTACATCTTGATTATGTTTACAAACATGAGTAAGCAACATTATCCTTGGATACATGAGAGATATGGATAGGTTACATCCTAAATTTATTAAATTTTGTGTTCAAATTTGTTCTCATTTTTGTGCATATAATACACTGGATGCATAAGTATGACCCAACTGTGTGCTCATGTGTGTATCAGTTGTTGCATGCACACTCTTGAAAAGGCATATAAAGGCATAGTAGTTTTAATGTGAGATTTAAATCCTCTACGATTGAAGGGATTTTCTGCTTTTGTGGCTGGAATCAAGGTTGATGCATAGTGCATGTTTTCACAAGTCCTGCTTAGCCTGAGATGCACCACACTTTTAAAGAGAGCATTCTATCTTTAGAGCCCTCCATGGATACAAAATTAGTATCCACATCTGATCCACAAACATGGATATCTGTGGATTTGCAGGGCTCTATTTTTATGTCAACTGTACGTTTATGAGGCCAAAAAATATTTACTGCTAATGGTTGAGATATTGTTGAGCTGCACTTCCCAGATGTTGTGGGTCTGACCATCTGTGGGATCAGGTGGGATTTTTTCTCCCTTGGGGCCAAATTGGCGGGCTGTCGGGGAAGGGGGAGCTGTTCACCTTCCTTGCAGCATCATGGAGGCACAGTTTCAGGTTAAAAGGAGTGTGAATAGTGATTTTTAAGGTTAGAAAGAGATATAGAAATGTTTGGTTTATCTCAACTTTAAGCTGGTGTTCAGTGCAGATAAAGGGCTGAAAGAGCCAGCTCCCAGAGAGAAGTGTATATAGGAGGCCAAGGATATGGCTGGTGGATCTTTTTTGTGAAGGCTGTGAAGTCTTGGAGAAATCTTAAGCCTTTGCAGACTAAGGTACCTGCATACCACCTTGTTGGAGAAGGGTGAGCAGATTCAGAGATGAACTGAGTGTTAGGGGCAAGGCTGAAGAGGACCAACCCTGAATTGCTGGTTAGATGGTATCAGGCCATTTAACCCCCCTGTTGGACTCAGTTAAATGCAGGGAGATAGTACAAGTTCAGTCAATAAGTTACAGCCTGTTTTAAATCCATCTCTTTGTTTCATTCACTTCCCTGTTCTGATCAATGGTAAATATTGGCACCCATTTCACTTCCCACCTATGATAGGTGTTTATCCTCTTTACGGTTTTGATGGAACTGCTTGATTTTTGTGCTTGTGTATTCACTCTGACTCATGCGAAAGGCTGCAGGATGAAATATAGGATTTTGAAGACTACATCATAAATTATTATCAGTGATGTCCCTTCGCTGTAAACTTGTTTAGGTCTGATAAAAGGGATGGTTACTACATAGGTGCTTTAAATCCCAAGGATTGCATTATAGATAATTATAATGGAATACATGTTCCTGCCCTTCTTTCCTCATTCAACCAAACTCCTCTGTACAGCTTTTTCTACAGTTACCCTTTCATAGCACCCTATTAGTCTGTAAGTACAAATACTTGATATATTTTTGAAAACTGACTTCTGTTTACTTTTACACAAAATAAGTTTTAGTAAATTGAATGTACATGTAAATTAACATAGTACAACATAATGTAAGGAAAATCAATAACTAGAGCTGTGTGATGCTGGGATTGGTTTGCAAGTTTATTTGGTACAATTTAGATGTTGTCTAGTCTGGCACCAGTCAAGTGCTAATGGTCCACTTAACAGTATGATACATCAAAACACCACTCATTATCAGATTGCTTAAGAAGACATGCACCACAAAGACATGGGATGTAAAATGAATATTTTTGTAATGGAAACAATTTTGCTCTGTTCATTTTATTCAGTGAATCCAAAGATTTATCAAGGATACACCCTTTAACTTAGACAACTTCATTTTACATTGTACAAACTAAAGCTTTCAACATCTCTCAATCATTTTTAATTATTATATGCTGGCTAGATGTGGTATGTAGTTTAGCAGATTACAATCCCCTAGATGGAAGGATAATGTATACCACCTCAAAAATAGTTGAGTGTGTGTGCCTCAGAATCAATTGGAAGACAAGCACAGTTTCTGTTTCAAGCATGTTTTCTTATAGATTCCATCATTCCGAGACAGATTTATATGAAGGCCTGTGGCCTCAAGCAGCCTCTTTCTTAGTGTGTACCTGTAGGCAGCAGATCTGAGAGCCATTGCTTCTTGTTTTCCATTTTCCATTTCATTACTATAGCATGGTGTAGTTTGTAGTTATTATTCAAATGAATAAAAACTTCTAAAAAACTTCTTTCTGTAGTCCATGCTGTTTCAGATCGGCAGTTCTCTGTATATGTATCGGTTCAGTCATGGATTTTTTTCTGACTGTGGTCTAGTTCATTGGACTAGCCCTCCATCTAACTTATGTGGTTCCATGATAGTTGGAACTACTTGAAGCCATGACTAATAGCTGCCCACGAGAGTCAAATAAAAAAAATTGCAAAATATCTGTGATGGACCAAATTACCTGTTTTTTTAAACACCTCTGGGAAGGCATATTCAGACTTTATCTTTGTCATGAGTAAGCATTGGTTGAGGCAATCCTTAATGCAGGCTTTAAAAGTCCAGCTGATGAGGACTGTTTCTTTCTTTATTTGATCACTTCCATGTTTATTTCATATTTCCAAAGCTATGTGATTTGGGATAGAGGCAGACCTGTTATCAGACACATTTACAAAATCACTTGCATTCTAACCCCATTTTAAATCCTTCATAACTTTCTGAATCTTCACCTTTCAGGCTGAAATTTTCCAGGCTTCTTGTCTGACAAAGATGACTTTGGAAGGAAAGGATAGCATTTGGAGGTGGGATTTTGAACAAAATTTGTCGTGAGTTTTAAAAGCAAGGAAAGTGAGGGAAGAAATAATTTCTCCATTGTGTTTGTAACATAGCCCTGTTAGCACAGCTGCTGCAAGTAAAAAGCCCACTAAACATCCACAAAGTCATTTCATTGTCCTTCAGATCTCTCTCTGATGCTGTCTAAGGGGCATCTACACTAACATAGTCACCACTTTTACAAAACTGTGATAAATCTTGTACAAAGTATGCCTTGTGAGGTCTCATTGGAAAAGTTGTAATCTCCTGAGTATTATTATCTGGTTATACTTTGTATATCGACATTGTGTGTG